TTATACGCCAAAGGCACCAGATGGAAACATTTTCGAATTGTCTTCATTTTCCTAAATTACTTCTTCACATTTGCCTATAACATACCAGCGGTTCTGAATGTTCCGGATCAGAAAATGGCTCTAGAGTTTACATATAAGGTTTGTATACAGTAACCAATTGATAAAATCAAAGATAATTATTTTTGCAGCAAATCCCAAATCTTCCTGAAGATATAAAATCTGGTCCAATTTTCATTCTAGCCATTGATTATTGGCTGCAGATTCCATTCAACTTTATGGCCGCATTGACTGCCGGTGGATCTTTCACATTTATCACACTGTTATCTATAAATATGAATTCGGCAACTAGAAGAAATAACCTTTCGGAGAATACAAAACGACTACAACGAAAATTCCTCAAAGCCATTTATTCACAGGTTTATATTTCTTATAATCTGGTCACAAACTTGTCCCAGGCTTGTCCTAGGCTTAGAACAAGGCAGGGACCATCTGGGCTTGTCTGTCGCTTGTCCTTGGTCTGTCCTAGTCTTGTCCTATTCTGGTCCTAGACTTGTACTAGGCTCTGACTAGCCTTGTTCTAAGCTTGTCTTACGCTTGTCCTGGGCTTGTCCTACGCTTGCCCTAGACTTGTCCTAGGCTTGTCCCTTCACTTGTCCTAGGCTTGTCCTAGGCTTGTCCTAGGCTTGTCCTAGGCTTGTCCTGGGCTTGTCATGGGCTTGTCCTGGACGTGTTCTAGGCTTGTATTAGGCTCGCCTTACACTTGTCCTAGGCTTTTCCTATGTTTGTCCTTGGAATGCCCTGGAACCTTTTCCAACCATCTAAATCCAAACCTTTCCCAACCATCTAAATCTGAAATCGAAAAAAGAGTCCAAATATTCAGGTCACAGTGTTTGCAATAAACGTTTTATGTCCCATGTCGTATGTTGTCATTTCCATATTGACTAACTATTACAACCAAATGGGGAACAATTTGGTGTTCATCATTGGCGCTTTTCACGGTATCAACTCGACGTTAATCATGCTCTGGGCTCATAAACCATATCGTGAAGTTTGCTATAATCTAGCAAAAAGAGCTCGGGAGAAATTGGAAATGGCCAATGCTGTTGTGAGAAATAATCATCAACCAACTGTTTCCACTACTGTTTTAGTTTAAAAGTTTCTAATGAAGTTTTTTTCTGATTTGCTGGTTCCAGTCTGAAACTCATAACAGCTAGAAAGCACTTTGAAAACAGGTGCTTTTCAGTTGATTTTGACCATTTTCAAGAGTCTGGAGCTCAGCTGTCAAGTTTCCGATCACTTTGAAAATTTTGAAGGTTATATAGTAGGCCTAGATTAAAAACTTTGCGTTGACAGAATTTTTCAACAATTCCTAGTGTTTCAGCTATTTGCCGGTTTCAGAAGGACACCATTTCTTGGCCTGTTTTTTATACCGAAAACCTGAAATAACAGGTGTCTTTCAGAAATCTGCAAATAGCTGAAAAACTAGGAATTTTTATAAAATTCTGTGAATACAAAGTTTTCAATCAAGGTCTGTTTTACACCTTCCAGAAATTTCCAAAATGGTCGAAGACTTGTCAGCCGAGCTCCACACTCTTGAAATTGGTCCAAAATGACCAAAAATCAACTGAAAAATTTATATCTTGTTGTATATCATATTGACCGGTACTGTATATGAACCAAATTTTGATAATTCCTTCTTTCACATCTGACATCATCATTCATAAGTCTAGTGGTCACAAAAAGCGTTCTCCAGCCTCCAAAGCATTGACTCAATCTTCCTTATCAGTTGATTTTTTAAACCTTGTTTGCTTCTATAAAATATCATTTCCTATCACTATATCATAAGTTTCAAAAAATGCTCATTTTTGTCTTTTTGATTTGTTTCAGTTTCTGCAATTCCCAACAAATAATTCATCTGAACAGCTTGAAAGGCAATAATTTTTTTTTTGAATATAAAGAGTGAAATGGTTCTTTACAAAAGTGAGTTTTTTGAAAATTCAGATTTTTTTCATGGACCTAACTTTTAATAATTTTTCAGTTTGCTTTATTTGAAAAACAGTTCAAAAAATTCAAATTCCGGCGTGCTAGCTGCTACAGCAATTCAAGAAAATTCGTTTTCGATTTCGAAGTTAACGGATTATCAGTTGTACAGCTTGACTGGAATTTTGTACATTACAAATACAGTCAGGCAGATGGTAGACCTTTGAAAGTCCCAAAAATAAATACAAAATAATTTTAGATAATAAATTTCGGTCTATTTTATAACCTTCAAAATTTTCAAAGTGATCGGAAACTTGACAGCTGAGCTCCAGACTCTTGAAAATGGTCAAAATCAACTGAAAAACACCTGTTTTCAAAGTGCTTTCTAGCTGTTATTAGTTTCAGACTGGAACCAGCAAATCAGAAAAAAACTTCATTAGAAACTTTTAAACTAAAACAGTAGTGGAAACAGTTGGTTGATGATTATTTCTCACAACAGCATTGGCCATTTTCAATTTCTCCCGAGCTCTTTTTGCTAGATTATAGCAAACTTCACGATATGGTTTATGAGCCCAGAGCATGATTAACGTCGAGTTGATACCGTGAAAAGCGCCAATGATGAACACCAAATTGTTCCCCATTTGGTTGTAATAGTTAGTCAATATGGAAATGACAACATACGACATGGGACATAAAACGTTTATTGCAAACACTGTGACCTGAATATTTGGACTCTTTTTTCGATTTCAGATTTAGATGGTTGGGAAAGGTTTGGATTTAGATGGTTGGAAAAGGTTCCAGGGCATTCCAAGGACAAACATAGGAAAAGCCTAGGACAAGTGTAAGGCGAGCCTAATACAAGCCTAGAACACGTCCAGGACAAGCCCATGACAAGCCCAGGACAAGCCTAGGACAAGCCTAGGACAAGCCTAGGACAAGCCTAGGACAAGTGAAGGGACAAGCCTAGGACAAGTCTAGGGCAAGCGTAGGACAAGCCCAGGACAAGCGTAAGACAAGCTTAGAACAAGGCTAGTCAGAGCCTAGTACAAGTCTAGGACCAGAATAGGACAAGACTAGGACAGACCAAGGACAAGCGACAGACAAGCCCAGATGGTCCCTGCCTTGTTCTAAGCCTAGGACAAGCCTGGGACAAGTTTGTGACCAGATTATAAGAAATATAAACCTGTGAATAAATGGCTTTGAGGAATTTTCGTTGTAGTCGTTTTGTATTCTCCGAAAGGTTATTTCTTCTAGTTGCCGAATTCATATTTATAGATAACAGTGTGATAAATGTGAAAGATCCACCGGCAGTCAATGCGGCCATAAAGTTGAATGGAATCTGCAGCCAATAATCAATGGCTAGAATGAAAATTGGACCAGATTTTATATCTTCAGGAAGATTTGGGATTTGCTGCAAAAATAATTATCTTTGATTTTATCAATTGGTTACTGTATACAAACCTTATATGTAAACTCTAGAGCCATTTTCTGATCCGGAACATTTAGAACCGCTGGTATGTTATAGGCAAATGTGAAGAAGTAATTTAGGAAAATGAAGACAATTCGAAAATGTTTCCATCTGGTGCCTTTGGCGTATAATTGATAGTAACGATTTTCAAAAATTAGCGCGATGGATGTGCAGACAACTAAAGAAGAAAATGACCTCGAATTTTTGTAGACTCTAATTTGACGTACACTTTGAGCTCAATTATCTCGGCTCCTTCAAAAGATCATTGAAAATTATCAACTTATAAATTATTCATCATATTATCACCAAAATTTTAACAGTTGACAAACTGTTGATATCTCTTATATGAACCAAGATAATTGAGCTTAAAGTGCAAGTATAGTCAAACTAACCAAAAACTAAAGCCATAATTAGATAAACCTGGAAAAGTGTGGACACTCCGAACCAATTCGTTAGAATCCCCAACGGATATCCTCCCATAGCCGGAAAAATCAATAAAGGAACGCTTAACACAGTAAATCCCCAGTCTAGCAGAATGCAGGACGCGTGCAAATTGAACATGTACCATTTGGCGGTGCCCATGTTTTTTGGCGTCTCCCAAACGATGCAATAAATTCCAAAAATGTGAAGAGGTGTCGCAAAAACAGTTATAATATGAAGAGTGTTTGTTAGGGCTTCGGGTGTGTCTAGAACCATATCTTTTGAAAAATCAGAAATCCTGAGTGGATAAAATAACAGGCCCGTGGGTGCGCAAGTTTGCACCTGACGTGTATAGAAAGTGATGTAAAAGAAACACCTAGAAAAGCACACGACCAATTTTTTCAGCTGATATGATTTTTGAGCTAGATCACGCATTATATTTCTGTCCTTATCAAAACTTTGAACGACACTGGTACACCCTTTCACTGCTCAAACCTAATAGATTGGATGGCTCAGTGGTCTAATTTTAAAACCAAATTTTCTCGAAACTGATAGGTCCGCAGCAAAAACGAAAAACAGATCCGGAAAGGACATGTCCTCAACTTTCGAATAATATCGGTCTCGACCCGAAACTTCAACTTAAGTCAACAAGCTTCCCTTAGAATCATTAATACGAATGATGAGCCTTTGCCAAGCCAATTCCCATATTTCCATAGTCTGGTTATATTCTCAAATCCCGCGCCGTTTTTCACCCAGTCTCACGCATTATATTTCTGTCCTTATCAAAACTTTGAACGACACTGGTACACCTTTTCACTGCTAAAGAATAAAGAACAGCTTTAATTATATATAAATTTTATGATGTTTTCAAAAAACTTAAAAATTGAAAAGAAACAAAAACAAGAACAAATACAAGAGCAAACAACTATTAATTATTATCATTGGCCCAATGTTGGAAATTCGGAATCATCCAGAAGCGCTGAACTGCATGCAGGACACGTTCTCTTTGTCTTGAACCATTCTTGAACACACTCTGTATGGTATCTGCGCTTGCAGCACTCGCATTTGATGGTTCCTTCTTCTGATTCCATTTCCTCGATGCAGATCAAGCAATCAGTGTCAGCAAGCTCTCCTGGTTTCACTTTTGGAGTCTTCAGTAGAGAATGACAAATTTTTGGAGCTTCTGACTTGAAGATGTCTTCGTAGGTCTTCAAGAATCTTTTGGAGAGAGCTGGGAACTCTGGAAGCTCTGGAATCTCATCTGGTTTGACTACTCGGCTTCCACGGATCATCTCCAACTGGGTGTTGACTGCTTGAATGTAGATTTTAGCCTTCTCGCAAAATTTAATTGATTCAACTTTAGTTGCATCCTCGATTTCCTTGTTGTGAGCCTTTATTCAGATTCGTTGAGCAAGTTCTCTGCATTTTCCAACTGGATTCCCGCTTCGAAGAGTTCCTTGAATCTCGAGAAGTTTGAAGAGCACATCTCTCACTTTCTCCGTCTCCTCGTCACTTCTGGTTGGTTCCATGAATCTGACTTCAGATGATTGTTGAGCCTCCAGTTCATTGATTTGATGTTCCTTCCTCATCAGAGATTTTTCAAGGGTTTCAATGGTCGTTGACTTCTCTTGAATAATGTTATATTTAGATTCGACTTCCATCTCAAAATTCATGATCGTGTCTTGCTTTTCCAGAAGATCCATGTTCTGCCTTTCGATGATGTCGTTTGGATCTTAAAAGTTCCTCTAACATCCTGATTCTCTCCTCCGTATCCATTACTTTCTGCTTCTGAACCTCAACTTCCAGCTCTGCATTCGTCAAGTCTTTCTTCAAATGCTTACACTCGAGTTTGGATACTCTCAGCTTCTCATTAGCCACATCAGCAAAATGACTGGCACGGGAGCACTTTGGACAAGATTGAGATTTCTTTGAGGCTTCTGGCATTTCGGGTTCTGGAGAGAAAGAAGGTTCCGATGTGCTTTGGTTGGATTCTTCAGACTTCTTCGTCTTTTTGGATCGCATCTTCTTCGGAACATCAGATGTAACTTCTTGATCCTTTTCTTCAACGATAACGTCGGTTTCTTCTGGTGGTGTTATCACGGAAACTGTAGTGTCTTATACAGGAACCGAGAAAAATTTGGTCAAAGTTTCTAAAAAAAAAGAAATTCTGAAAAGTTCAGAATTTCTGTATTTCAGAAAATCATATATTGAAAATACGGATTCTTCAAACCAATTTTAAATTTCCTCCAAAATTGAATTGTTCGGTTTTTTTCAAAATGACTTTCCAATTTTCCACTGATCTACGCACCAAAAAACACAAACCCATTGGAAAAAATAGTAGTTTTTCTCCAAACATTTTTAATCCGAATTTGTTGTTTGTCATTGAAAAAAATTGGCAATTTTTGGTCTCCCAAAGGTCGCACCTCTCTTTTTTTTTCCAATTGTTTTAATTCGCACCTATTGTAACAAGAAGTGGAGGAACTTTGTACAAACAACACCCAACATGTCACATGTTTTTATGGGCGGGGCTTAAATGAGTATATAAAAATTGAAGTCTGTGTAAAATTTCGAATTCCCGCCTCTTTACTATGCCTCGCTTCTCTGGAAAGACCGTAATCATCACTGGTTCCTCCCATGGAATCGGTAGATGTGTGGCTTTGATGTTTGCTAAAGAGACAGCTAATGTGACAATCACCGGAAGGAATGCCCAACGTCTTCAGGAGACAAAAGACCTAATTTTGAGTTCTGGAGTCTCAGAATGCCATTTAAATTCTGTTTTGGGTGATGTGACGACTTCTGAAGGGCAAGATGAATTGATCAAAACAACGTTGGACAAGTTCGGAAAAATTGATATTCTGGTGAGTTCTCTGCCCTTCTAATACAGGTTTTATGGCATATTATAGGTCAATAACGCCGGCGCCTCAATCATGGACATTTCTGGTCCAACTGGAGTGGATCAAAGTATGGATATTTATCATAAGAATATGCAGCTGAATCTGCAGTCGGTGATTGAGATGACGCAGAAAGTGAAGCCGCATTTGATGGAAACCAAGGGGGAGATTGTGAATGTTTCGACAATTGGAGCTGGACCACATGCGGTAGGTTTCGGGCAAGAGTTGGGCCCTTTTTGAGGTTCCAATAAGGTCTAGGGCATTAATAGAACAAAAATAGGAAAATGCAACAAAAAGTCTAGGAAAAGCCGAAAAAATGATCATAGTAAGCCTAAGACAAGCGAGGGACAAGGTTTGAACGAACATAGGACAAGAATAGGACAAGGTTTTGAAATATCTACAAGCCTAGGAAAAGATTAGGACAAGGTCAGAATAAGCCGGAAATAAGGCAGGGACAAGAATAGGACAAGGCTAGGACAAGCCTAGTGGGGTCCGATCTTTTTTTTTTTTCTTTTTTTTTCTCGACAACCTGACTTGCAAGTCTTGGGCAAGCTGAGGACAAGCGAGAGACACGATTTGGACATGCCTATTGGGACTCTACCTTGTTCTAAGCTCGTCCTCACCTTGCCAGATGCTTGCCTTATCCTTACCCTATTCCAGCAGCCCGACTTCCTCTACTACTCCATCGCCAAAGCAGCACTTGACCAATACACTCGTAGCTCTGCCATCGACCTCATCCAACACGGAATTCGTGTCAACTCCGTGAGCCCCGGAATCGTCGTCACTGGATTCATTGGAGCCGCCGGCTTGGAGTATGAGTCAGCTCGCAAGGTACAGTGATCCTTCTACAATTCCGAAATTTTTAATTTTCAGTTTTACGAGAAACTGGCTAGCAACAAGCAATGGATTCCGGCAATGGTCGCTGGTAAGCCGGAGGATATTGGCAATGTTATTTTGTTTTTGGCCGATCGGAAACTGTCGTCTTATATCATTGGACAATCGATTGTTGCTGATGGAGGGTCCACTTTGGTGATGGGTGTGGATTTTGGAGCAGCCATGCAATAATTTTTCTTTCAGTTGCGAATTTTTGGAATGAGTAGCTTCAATAAACTTTCAGAACTCCAGATAATCAAAAATTCAAAATCTCAGAATCTCAAAATCTTGAGAATCTTTCAATTTCAAAGAATCTGAATTTTAGAATTTCAGAATCTCAGAATTTCAGAAACTCAGAATCTCCGAACCTCCGAATTTCAGAATCTCAGAATATTACATTTTTCATTTTTTGAATTTCATAAGTTCGTAATTACAAAATTTCATAACTTCGTAACCTCAGAATCTCAGAATTTCAAAATTTCAGAATTTCAGAATTTCAGAATTTTAGAATTTCAAAATTTCAGAATTTCAGAAATTCAGAATCTCAGAATTTCAGAATTTCAGAATTTCAAAATTTCAGAATTTCAGAATTTCAGAATTTCAGAATTTCAAAATTTCAGAAATTCAGAGTTTACAGGATTTCAAATTTCAGAGTTTACAGGATTTCAGAATAATAGAATCAGACACACATTCAATCTTTATTTTTCCAAAAAAAAATTGAAAAAAGTTCTATACGAGTATTTTTCTAATCAGCAAAAGTTTTAGGTCCCATCAATTGGCATCCTGATCAATGCACTTGTAGACGCCTTGACTTTTCATCAGTTTCACTCTTTTCGACAAATGCTCAATGAGCAAAATATCCAAAATCGTCAAGAGCATTATGAAGAACGCGTAGAACTCGAAATTTTCCCATTCCACCGGGTACATTGGGATTTCAGTGGGTGTTTGACCAAGTTTCAGCCAGTTCTGGGTCCAGTTGCGTCTGAAATTTTTTTTTGGATGAAACAAATTACAGTAATCCTGTCCTACCGATACATCTCCATATTCACCAGAATGGCTCCCCATAGAGCCAACTGAATGAACGTGTGAGCCAAGGATTGGATCTGAAAATTTCCAACAATTTTGGAAAATTTTTGATGAAAATCGAAATTTCAGAAGTTTTGAAAATTCAGAACGTCAGAAATTCAGAAATTCCGAATATCAGAATTCCAGAATTTCATAATTTCATAATTTCAGAATTCCAGAATTTCATAATTTCATAATTTCAGAATTTCAGAATTTTAGAATTTCAGGATTTCAGAATTTCAGAATTTCAGAATTTCAGAATTTCAGAATTTCAGAATTTCAGAATTTCAGAATTCCAGAATTTTTGTATTTCAGAATTTCAGAATTACAGAATTTCAGAATTTCAGAATTACAGAATTTCGGAATTTCAGAATTTCAGAATTTCAGAATTTCAGAATTTCAGAGTTTTAGAATTCCAGAATTTCAGAATATCAGAATCTCAGAATCTCGGAATTTCAGAATTTCAGATTTTCAAACTTTCGAAGTTTCTTAACAACTTAATTTCCGTAATACAGGAATTCAGATACCGTAAAACCTCTAATAGAACGACACCCGGATCGTCCACTTTGAGCCTATATATCTCATTTTCTGTAAAAGATATCAAAAAGTGGCTAACTAGTAAAATGTTGCTGATATCCTGATAAACAATACTAGTTCACCACTTTTTGATATCTTTCAAAAGAAGTGAGATATATAGGCTCAAAGTGGACGATCCGGGTGTCGTTCTATTAGAGGTTTTACGGTATTCGAAAATTCAAAAGTTCAGAATCTCATAATTTCAGAATTTTTTTTTTATTTCCAGAATCTCTGAATTTTTTTTTTCTAAAACTTTTTCTAAAAAGAATTTCAATTTTTCTAAAATTCTGGGAAACTAGGAGTTTCGGAAATTCTAAAATTCCAAAGAATTCTAAAAACTTACAAATGAAAATTGCTTGATGAAAATTCTCAAGCTCATATCCAGAATCGCCAGCAACAACGAAGTGACAGTGAGGATTAGAGTGAGTCGGAGTGGAGAGATAATGTCCACGTATTTCGGTTCGGAGCCACTGACGATATGATTGATAGAGAACTGCAAAAATTAATTTTTGTTCAATTCCGTCTATGGGATTTTCAGAATCAACACAAAATTTCACATCGAAATGGCTCATTTACAAGCTTTTGCATTTTTTCCTCAACTCACATCAAAACAAGTCTTCACATTGACCGTAATCATCTCATCCTTATTCTTCAAATACATCCGATGCCATTTGTCAGCTACCGTAATATTTTCGAGTAGTCCTTCCATTTCATCAACATCGAATTCCGACGTATCAGTTTCGTTAATTCGAACTTCATCTCCCTCGGAAATCGAACGCGTCGTTCGATTTGGAAAATCTGTCCAATTTGTCAAAACGATCGGTTCCATTTGGACCTGAAATTTTTTGAATTTTTTGAAGAAATGCATTCACGCTCTATTGATGAATACCTGAGAAATCGACTCAACCGCAGCTTGGCATTTCTTCAAGAATCCCTCGAGCTCATGTGGCACATAATTAATGCACAATTTCGAATGGAGCACAATCAGTGAGCTCGCAGCCAGTAGAACCAAAAAGAATACGGTGCGAAGGATGACGAATAGTCGCATTTTTTAGAGAGGAATATGGTTTTTTTCTATTTTGGAGTTGACGAAATTTGGATAGTTTTGGAAATCCACAACATCAAGAATATTACACGTGAACAAATTCAAAAGTTTCTCGTGTTTTTTAGAAAAATAAAGATTAGGAATGTCTGATTCTGAAGGCTCTGAAAATTATGAAGATTCTGAGAATTATGAAACTTCTGAAGTTCTGAAATTCTGAAATTCTGATATTCTGAAACCCTGAAATTTCGAGATTTGGAGATGCTATGAATTCTAAACTTTTGAGATTCTGAAATTCTAAACTTCTGAGATCCTGAAATTCTAAACTTCCGAGATTCTGAGACTTCCGAGATTCTGAAACTCTGAAATTCTGAAACTCTGAAATTCTGAAATTTTGAAATTCTAAACTTCCGAGATTCTGAAACTTCCGAGATTCTGAAACTCTGAAATTCTGAAACTCTGAAATTCTGAAATTTTGAAATTCTGAAATTCTGAAATTCTGAAATTCTGAATTTTTGAAATTCTGAAATTCTGAAATTCTGAAATTCTGAAATTCGGAAATTCTGAAATTCTGAAATTCTGAAATACTGAAATTCTGAAGTTTTGAAATTTTGAAAAGTCTCAAATACTGGAGATTCTGAAGTTCTGAAAATTCTGAAATTCTGAAATTCTGAAATTCTGAAATTCTGAAATTCTGAAATTCTGAAATTCTGAAGTTCTGAAATTTTGAAAAGTCTCAAATACTGGAGATCCTGAAGTTCTGAAAATTCTGAAATTCTGAAAGTTTTGAAATGTTGATATCTTGAAAAATTCAGTGATTTTTGAAGTCCTGATGGATTCTGAAAGATCTGCATTATCTAATTTTGATGATTCATGAGAAATTATGTAAGTTTGAAAATCTGATTTTCAGAAATTTTTTTTATTTTTGAAATTTTGGAAACTTGACATTCTGAAATTAGAAAAAAAATTAAGACACCGAAATTCAAAAAATACAAAATTCTGAAATGCTGGAATTATGAAAATCTGGATATTGAGAAATTTGGTAGTTCTGAAATTCGGAAATGTTGAACTTTAAAAATTCCGAATTTCTGAAATTTTGAAAGTCTTAAGGTGCCTGGGAATTTACAAAACAGAATATACATATTTTTATTCAGAAAAAAATTCATCACATAAAATGCTTATCCAATCACATTTGACTGTCTTGTGACCAATTTAAAATAAGTCCCTTCAGAATCCTCCATCAACTCCTCATGAGTCCCTTGAGCACTGACACTTCCATTTTCAATGACCGCAATTTTGTCGGCGTTCCGAACAGTTGAGAGACGGTGAGCAATGACCAAGACAGTCATATCCTGGGAACACCGACTGAGAGCTTCCTGAACCAGTGCTTCCGACTCCACATCCAATGCCGAGGTGGCCTCGTCGAGAATCAGGACCTGAGGATTGCGAACAAGGGCTCTGGCGATAGCCACCCTCTGCTTCTGGCCGCCGGACAGCCGGACTCCTCGCTCTCCACAAACCGTGTCGTAACCATCTGCCATCTTGGAAACGAACTCATCCACATTGGCCATCCGTGCCACTCGCATCATGTCTTCCTCCGATCCTTCGTCATAGCCATACAGAATATTCTCTCGGATCGTTCCCGAGAACAAGACAGGCTCCTGAGCAACAAGTGCCACTTTACTATGGTAAAATTTATGGTCAATATTCTCGATTGGGGTCCCATCAAGAAGAATTCGTCCCGACGAAGGAGCATAGAATCGTTGGAGTAGAGAAACAAGAGTGGACTTTCCATGTCCACTAGGGCCAACCAGAGCCACGGTCTGTCCGGGGGCAATCGATAGATTCAGACTTTTGAGGATCCTTTTTCCATCGATCTCGTAAGCAAAATCCACGTCTTCTATCGTAATCCCACCAATAACACTCGGTTTCTCGGTGCCAGAGAGTAGCTTGGATTTTGGATCAGAGCTTAGGAGGTCCAGAACTTTCTTGGACTTCCCAATGGTTTTCATACCCTCCGAGTGCAGTTTAATTAGTCTCTGAAATTAAACTCATAATTAATTTAAAGCTAACTCAACGGCTCTCACCGTTAGTGCATATATCGCTCGAAAATGGTAGATCACAAACGTGTGAAACTCCTGCCCATCCAATCGATTGTATTTCCTCAAATAATGGCCATACCAATAAATGAGCAACGAATCGAGTCGCCACCCGAAATTGACCAAGAATCCATGAGAAGAATCACTTCCAACGTCTTTGGAACGGATATTGTAGTATTCCTCATTCACAAGATTATATCTTCGAAGTTCGTTGGATTCGGCAGCCATCGATCGGATGGTTCGTGCTCCGGAGAACGCTTCTCCAGTTATTCCGCTGCAGCGAGAATCGGAGGCGACAGTCTCTTCGGATATCATCTGAAATCTTTTTTTTGTTGTTTGAATCATAACATTTTTAATAGTCCTAAAACAGTAATCTCACCTTCCTCTCATTTCCAAAGTATATCGACACAAAACTAATGGCAGGCGCAGACAACAAAATCGTCAGTGTCAGTTGCCATGAACACGTTAACAGAAGCATGCCATCTCCAATAACCATGAAAACATCTGTCGCAACGCTGGCAATCAATTCAGGCGTGTAGCTGGCTATCGTTCCACAGTTGGACGATAAAAGTGTGCTCAACTCTCCCGATTGATTTTGATCGAAGAAACTGATCGGTTGGTGTAGAATGTTCTCGTGAACCGAGTTTCGAAGATCCACTGTTGCTCGGAGTTTCGCCAGACCCATATAGTATTCCTTTGTAGATAATAAAATGATTGTGACGAGCCGAACTAGTTGCCATTTAACACAGGAAGAGAGATCATGTGGTCCATCTCTAAACATATCGGATTGCATTCTTTTGTAAAGGATTGGTTCGTAGAGGAAGCCTGAAATTCTCTTTGATCTTAAATATCTCGGCTCCTACAAGTGATATCGAAAAAATGATAACTGATAAATTATTCATCATAAGATCATCTACATTTCCTCAGTTTACAGACTTTTGATATCTCTCATAGGAACCGAGATAATTGAGCTTAAGGCAAACTTACAGACACATTCGGCCGCCAGAAGCAAATACGGAAGCCGGAAAGCGTTCCAATGCTTTATATGAATATTGAAAATAGTTCTGAAAAGTGCGAAACTTCCAGGTTCTTCATTTTCAATTCCTGGAAAAAACTTGGAGTTCTTCAAAATTTTAGAATTTTAGAATTTTAGAATTTTAGAATTTTAGAATCTCAGAATCTCAGAATTTTAGAATTTTAGAATTTCAGAATTTCAAAATTTCAGAATTTCAGAATCTCAGAATCTCAGAATTTCAGAATCTCACAATCGCAGAATCTCAGAATCTCAGAATCTCAGAATCTCAGAATCTCAGAATTTCAGAATCTCAGAATTTCAGAATCTCAGAATCTCAGAATTTCAGAATTTCAGAATCTCAGAATCTCAGAATCTCAGAATCTCAGAATCTCAGAATCTCAGAATCTCAGAATCTCAGAATCTCAGAATCTCAGAATCTCAGAATCTCAGAATCTCAGAATCTCAGAATCTCAGAATCTCAGAATCTCAGAATCTCAGAATCTCAGAATCTCAGAATCTCAGAATCTCAGAATCTCAGAATCTCAGAATCTCAGAATCTCAGAATCTCAGAATCTCAGAATCTCAGAATCTCAGAATCTCAGAATCTCAGAATCTCAGAATCTCAGAATCTCAGAATCTCAGAATCTCAGAATCAAAGAATCTCAGAATCTCAGAATCTCAGAATCTCAGAATCTCAGAATCTCAGAATTTTAAAATTTTAGAATTTTAGAATTTCAGAATTTCAGAATTTCAGAATTTCATAATTTCAGAATTTCATAATTTCAGAATTTTAGAATTTCAGAATCTCAAAATTTCAGAATTTCAGAATCTCAGAATCTCAGAATCTCAGAATCTCAGAATCTCAGATTCTCAGAATTTTAGAATTTCAGAATTTCATAATTTCAGAATTTTAGAATTCCAGAATCTCAAAATTTCATAATTTCAGAATTTTAGAATTTCAGAATCTCAAAATCTCAGAATCTCAGAATCTCAGAATTTCAGAATCTCAAAATTTCAGAATATCATAATTTCAGAATTGTAGAATTTCAGAATCTCAAAATTTCAGAATTTCAGAATCTCAACTCACCGTCACTCGTCAAACTCCTTACAATAAAAATCGAAGAGATTGTGAAGAAGACTGCCGCTACCGTACCTCAAAGTGCACTTTCCGGTTTTTCTCCAAAAAAATCCAAGACCAAAAGTTTGACGATTGCAGCGAGGCCACAAATGAACAACAGACAGTAATATCGCCAAATTGAATCTCGAATTTTTTGGATTTTCCATGCTTGTCGTACCGTTTTCCTGATGTACAGTATAACCAATTGTCTGATGAAGAACAAAACAACAAAATCCACGTGGGATGTTGTGTATTTGTAATTGTAGACAGCTAAAAAAATATCCTTCACACATCGATAATGATCCAAAAAATAGGATGTCACAAAGACGTCTAGTAGTATTAGAAAATCGAGAAGTCTCATTTTTTTCAGAAAAATGGAAAAATAAATTTCTGTAGTTTCCCAGATCTGACACGAGGAGAAACGTATGTATGTGTGTGGAATGGAGAAAAACTTTTTTTCATGTTCTTTTACGTGCGATTTTTAGGAAAGCTCTACAGTACCCCACAAAACTATACTGTACTTTAGTTTCCCCCCAGAAACACTTTCAAAATAGAAAAAATATGTTCGGAGCCTGAGCATTTTTTATGCTCATTTCAAAGATCTCAAAGCCAATTTTATATTTTCAAAAAATTCGTTCCAAATTCGTTCAAAATTCATTCAAAATTCATTAGAAGTTCCCGTCCATTAGATCCATTTGTCTTCTAACTAACTTATAATACATCCCATCATTATCCCTCATCAGCTCCCGGTGAGATCCCCATTCTGCAACACATCCCTCGTAGATCACTGCAATCTTATCGGTGTCCCTCACAGTTGATAGCCGATGAGCTATCACAATCACTGTCATCCCGACGGAGCATCTGCCAAGAGCTTGCTGAACCAACGCCTCCGATTCCACATCCAGGGCAGACGTGGCCTCGTCGAGGATCAAGATCCGAGGATTGCGAACCAACGCTCTGGCGATAGCCACCCTCTGCTTCTGGCCACCAGACAATAACCGTATCGTAACCACCCGTCATCTTGGAAACGAACTCGTCCACATTAGCCATCCGAGCGACTCTTATCATGTCTGCTTCTGTCCCTTCATCATAGCCATACAAGATGTTCTCCCGGATCGTACCTGAGAACAAGACAGGCTCCTGACCCACAAGTGCAACTTTGCTATGGTAAAACTTATGATCGATGTTAACGATAGGCGTCTGGTCTAGTAAAATTCTTCCTGATGTTGGAGCGTAGAACCTCTGGAGCAAAGAAACAATAGTCGATTTTCCATGTCCACTAGGGCCAACTAGAGCCACGGTCTGTCCGGGGGCAATCGATAGATTCAGACTTTTGAGGATCCTTTTTCCATTGATCTCGTAGGCAAAATCCACATTCTCTATCGTTATCCCACCAACAACATTCGGAGTCTCGATGCCAGAGTTTAGTTGGGATTTGGGATTTGAGCTAAGGATCTCCAGAACTTTCTTGGACTTCCCAATGGTCTTCATGCCATCCGAGTAGGTTTTGATTAGTCTCTGAAAAAATGAGCTCATAATTAATTCGAAGCTAAGTCTACTGCTCTTACCGTGAGCGCACCTAGAGATCGGCAGTGGTAGACCACAAACACGCTCAAACCTTGCCCATCCATTATGTTGCATTCCCTCAAATAGTGACCACAAACATAAACTCCCCATGAAATGAGTCGCCATGCGAAATCGACCAAGAACCCATGAGTTGAATCACTTCCGACATCTTTGGAACGGATACTGTAGTTCTCCTCGTTCACAAGATAATATTTTCGAAGTTCGTTGGATTCGGCAGCCATGGATCGGATGGTTCGTGCTCCGGAGAACGCTTCTCCAGATGTTCCATTGCAGCGAGCCTCGGAGGCGACAATCTCTTCGGAGAGCATCTGAAATTTATTCTTTTGGATCTCAAGGACTCTTTACTCGGCAACCAGAGGAAGGAGCCTAGGATTATAGGAATTCGATGGTTTATGAATTTCGAAAAAAAAATCTAAAATTTCAAAATGACGCTTTATTTTTGGAATTTCAGAACTTTCAACTCACCCTCTTCTTATCTCCAAAATGAATCGTCACAAGACCAATCACAGGAGCAGATACCAGAACCAACAGTGTCAATTGCCATGACAAATTTACCACGTACATGACATCTCCAACAACGAAAAAGATATCTTTCGCAACGCTAGCAATCAGATCAGGAGTGTAGCTCGCTATTGTTCCACAGTTGGATGCCAGTAGTGTGCTCAGCTCGCCTGATTGATTTTGATCGAAGAAACTGATCGGTTGCTCTAGAATGTTTTCGTAGACCAAGTTTCGAAGATCCACTGTTGCTCGGAGCTTCGCCAGACCCATATAGTGTTGCCGTATAGATGTCAGAATGATTAAGAACAATCGAAGGCTTTGCCATTTTGAGCAAGACGAAATCACATGTGGTCCATCACCAAACATGTCCTTATTCATTTGCTTGAACATGGCCGGTTCGTAAATTGAGCCTGAAAACCTATACTTGTACTTTAAGTTCAATTATCTCGGTTCCTATGAAAGATATCAAAAAACCGTCAACTAATAAAATGTTTTTCATAATATCAGCAACATTTTATTAGTAGACTAAACTTTGATACCTCTCATAGGAACTGAGATAATTGAGCTTGAAGCATACTTACAAACACATTCGCAAGCCAGAAGAAAATACGGGAATCTGAAGGATGTCCAGTGTTTCGAATGCAAATGGAAAAGCGTTTTGAAAAGTTTGAAATTTTCAGACTCTTCATTTTCTGTGCATGAATCGGTTCCTGAAAAAACTTCAGAATTTTAGAATTAAAGAATTTCAGAATTTCAGAATTTTAGAATCTCAGAATCTCAGAATCTCAGAATCTCAGAATCTCAGAATCTCAGAATCTCAGAATCTCAGAATATCAGAATCTCAGAATCTCAGAATCTCAGAATTTCAGGATCTCAGAATCTTAGAATCATAGACTTGTGCTAAATCGCACTCTTCTGATGGTGATTCACCGAAGAATGTGCATTGCATCCCCCCGCAATCACTTTCTTTTATTAAATTCTTTATCATGTAACCAGTATAAAAGCCCCTCTATTGTAGCATTCTATATCGTTCAATAAACCAATGTAGCTTCTAAAACAAGACTCTTAGAATCTCAAAATCTCAGTATCTCAAAATCTCAGAATCTCAGAATTTTAGAATCACAAAATCTCAGAATTTCAGAATTTCAAAATTTCAAACTTTTGAAATCTCAGAATCTCAGAACCTCAGAATCTCAGAATCTCACAATCTCAGTGTTTTAAAATTTCGAAATATCAGAAAACCAGAATTTCAAAATCTTAGGATCTCAGAATCTCGGAATTTCAGAATCTCGTCATTTCAGAATCTCAACTCACCGTCACTCGTCAAACTCCTTACAATAAAAATTGAAGATGCTGTGCAGAAGACTGCCGATACCGTACTCCAAAGTGCACTTGTCAATTTTTGTCCAAAAAAACCGAAAATCAAAATTTTGACCACACCAGCGAGACCGCAAATGAACAAGAGACAGTAATAGCGCCAAATCGAACGTCTGATTTTTTGGATTCCCCATTTTTGTTGTACCGTATTCCTGATGTAGCGGATGAGCAATTGTCGAATAAGACATAAAACGAAATCCGTATATGACCAGTTGAAAAACGACGAAAAGACATCCTCAAAACTTTCAGAATCTTCCAGAAAGTACGATGTCAACAAGACATCTAGAAGTACTAGAAAATCTAGAAATCTCATTTTTTCAGAAAATCTTGAATAGTATGAGAAACAATACTGTTCCCTTTCTTTTGTTCTTTTTCACATTTCATGGGAACCCGCCCGCAGTGATAATTCGATGTATGGGAATTTCGAGAAAAAAAACGATAGTTTCATTTTTGTTTCGTTTTCTGGGAAATTTTTCATAAAGAAAAACTCAAAAATTACTTGATTTTTAAACAAACTGAAAATATCGAAAAAACACAATTCAAAAAATTAAAAAAAACTATATGCGTTGGGGGGGCGGGGGAATCGAACCCCCGTCGAATGCTTACACAGGTGATTCTCTTAGCGTCTATAATAGGTGAAATATTGTTCGCGGAAAGTCGCCATGGGTACATCGGAACATGCCTGCCGCAGGCCATTTACAGACCAATCGCGAGAGCGCCACCGCAAACGCCTATCGCGAGCAAATCTCCTACAATTGGCTTGCCGCGAGAACAATAATTGAACTATATTTTTTCGAATCTGGAAGCTAGCCGCTGCTTGAAAATGATTTATTACACAGAAAAACAATGAAAAACAGAAAAAATGTTATTAAAAATATTTTTTTTTCCTTCCAATGTTGTCGTGTTAGCTGGAGCGGCGCCGGAGCTTAGCTTTTCGTAATGTCCGTTTTCGCCTTTTTCGATGACGGTCCAAGTTGGGGAGAAGAAGAAGAAGAAGACGCTGTAGGATAACGGCTAGGGAACTGAAACAATTCATATAGATTTTATAGCCTTTAATCGAATCTACTCACTGCTAGTTCAAGCTTTCCTTCCTTCCTCTTTCTACGGTTTCTGGAGTATCCGATAGCCGTGAAAGTTAGGACTTTCTGTCTCCCTGTAATGATTAGATTGAAAATCTGGTATTTCTTGTCGATTCTTACATTGTTACAGTACGATAGCACTGTTATCTCTAGATTTTTTGGAAGTTCCGACTTCTAATTTCCAACTTCTGATTTCCGGCCAATTTTTCTCTTTTTCTGAAAATAAAAACGATAAATACATGATTATACAGTATTCTAGTATGTTTCCATATGTTTAATAATGATTTACGGACAAAAACTGCATCGAAAACGGCGAAAAACGAAGTAAAATACCCAAAATAGGGAAAGGAAGTCCGCAAAATAGAAAACAAGAATTTTTCGCGATTGGTCATTTATTGTCCTTTTAAAGGGCCAGTCGCGATGATACGGAGGGTGCTCGCGAATGGTCAATTGTAGAGCCTCTCGTTCGCGGTAGATAAGTAATTGGTCGTTTATAGCCCTATACCTGTAATTGGTCAATCACGAATCACCTGCGCTTGGAAGGCATCCATGCTGACCATTACACCACGAACGCACATGTTCCTCTTGACGCATTTTTTGTACATAAACCTAGCGTTGAGGCGATTTTTTCGTGTGAAGGGGACTGGGAAGTTTCTTTATGAAAACTACCCAGAATTTTCCGAAAAAGAAACATATGATTTTTTTTTGTTTTTCAGAAATTCGAAGTTAGGAATTTTTCGAAATTCTCCAATCTATCCAATTTTAGGTATTCGGCCAGTTCGGAATCACCAGCCTTCTCATTTTTGCCGTTTTCTTGAAATTCTCCAATCTCAATTTTTCGGAAATTTCGTGATTTTTCGAAAACTCAAAGATTCGAAGTTTTCCGGAAATGGTTACTTCTACATTTAAAAATCAAAATTTTTATAAATCCTTGCGCCTTTGATTACTGTAGTTCTGCAATAGTATAATGTCGACCCGGATTTTTAGGTCATGACCTAGTTTTTGAAATTTCTAGCTCATGACCTAGTTTTTTGGGTTTCTAGGTCATGACCTAGTTTTTTTTCGATTTCTATTTTCTGGGATTTCATTGTAGTGGATGGCCTAGAACTGGCCTAACTTCTTGACAATCAGAGAAAGATTGGTCTTTTCTGGAATCTCCACAAGGGGATCCCCTTTTTCTCCTTTTCAACGTTTTCAATGTGATGCACATTGTCCTTTATCCCTTTTCTCCTCCGATTCATTTTTTTTGTCGACCCGTTCGAAAATTGAAAAATGTGTGAATGGTCACCCACCACCTACTAGCACCATATGTTCAAAGTGTGCTCAATTTTATGAGAATCCAATTCGTTCGTTTCGTTATGTGTGTCCACTATTTTTAATGGATTACACATACACAATGAAAAAAATGGGATCACATTTGAGGGAATGATGTGGTTGGAGACGGGGATGGGACACTGGACGGTGACAGGAACCCCGTTCCTTGCTGTAGCAAACTGAAAATTTCAAGCTTTAATTTATCTTCTTTATCAAGTGTTTTACGTCAAATCCTTCCAGTCATTGTACAGCTTCGGAGGGTTTCTAGCACTTTAAGGATTGCCAGGCTAATCCCAGCCAAGATTAATCCTTTTTTAATAATCTATGCTTCTTTCCATTTTTTTTTAACACTTCCTTCATATATTTTCTGTTCTCTATGTATATTCCAATTCCCCAAACCACTCCCTCTTCTTTTTCACAAATTGAAATGTCAATTTGTCTTTTTTCTCCGTCGTATTCGTCTGGTGGTCGTTGTAGTGTGGTTAAGATTAATTTGGAGATGGGTCTTTGTGAAGAAAGCCGGCGGCTCTTTTGTACTATAGTAGTGTAGATGGATGGGTATTTGAGGTGTATACATCTCGTAGAAGAACTTGGAGATGAAATTTATGTGGGTGTGTGGATCGCTCATTGTGCAATGTGAATGGATTGGGTGAGGTGAATTGGGATGTCATAATTTTGGGTTATCGAGAACTTTTCTAATTTTCAAAAATGCCATTTTTCAGAATTTTCAAAAAGTGCAGTTTTCCTATTTTTAAATTTTTTGACCACCTAATTGCCTAAATGAATTAGGATCCTATGAATCAACTTCAAGAGATTAGAATTTTCAGTTTTAGCTTGATTTTATATTCCAGAACTCATGAATCCCAGGCCTCCTGGACCAGAGGTTAGGCAGATTTCAATGATTTCAATTTTTTAAGATTCGATCCTATGGGCTCTGGATCCTATGGATATTAAAATTTCGAAATTTTCAAACTTTCTTCCAAAACTTCTAGATTCTGAATCTCTCGGATTTTGGACTTTCTAGACCTCAGCTTTTCCAAATTTCGCAGATTTGAAATTCTGGAATTTTCAGATTTTCAGAATTCTCCAATTTTGATGATTCCTTGGATCCTAGATCCTATAGAACCTAGATTCTTTAGATCCTAGATGTTATGTATCCTAGATCCTATAGATTCTATGGATTCCGGATCCTATGAATTCTATGGATCCCAGATTCTCTGGATTCCAGATTCTATGGATCCTAGGTTCTGTGGATCCTAAGTCATATTGTTCGTAGATCCTATTGCTCCCAGATCTTATGGATCCTTGATCGTGTTTATCCTAGATCCTATGGATCCCAGATTCTATGGATCATATGTCCTCTCGTTCGCAGATCTTATGGACCCAAGATTCCATGGTTTTTAGATAATATGTATCCTAGATCCTATGGACCCTATAGATCCTAGATCATATAGATCCTAGATCATATGGACCCTATAGATCCTAGATTCTATGGTTTCTAGATTTTATGGATCCCAGATTTCCCTTAGGACCAATGGGTCCTATGGATCTAAGATTCAATGGATTGCAGATTTTATGGATTCCATATTCTCTAGGTGCTCAAAACCATAGATCCTAGACCCCATCAATCTCCCACACGCCCAGTTCTATTTAATTCAGAAAATTTGAAAATTCCAGACATTTACATCCTCTCTTAA